CAAGCATACAATTTCCACCTGTTAAGGGAGTAAAAAATGGAGCTACCACACTTCCTCTACTGGTTCCCTTCTTATGCTCCCCAAACCTGGGAGACCTCCTAAGTAGATTTTCTTGTGGGTCCAGTAGTTGTAGGAGAGAGTAAGTGACACGTCTTTAGTAACTTAGACCTTGATTCTTAACTTTTAGAAGTTAGGAGAGCAATTGTGAGAAGTTACCTCTTTACCCTGTCCGTTATGTTGTCTTCTCTGTGGTTCTGCCAATATCAGTACTGACCCTTATCATTAACTGCTGTATAGGTCCCATTTGAAAACCCTCTACAAGTGTTCAGTATAATTATTATTAAAAAGATATTTGGTGAAATATTATGAAAACATAAGGAAGATAGAAAAGTAGCAAACAGAAAAACAGTTTTAGATTTGATAAGTCATGAGTTCTTCCTCCATTACTATTACTGTGTTCTTCCTCCATTACGGTAATATTTTATGTTCCAGTTGTGGTAGATATATAATTTCAATATTAAGAACTTAGTGATATAAATCTTTTGTTATTTTTTTCCATATCCCTGAGAACTAGGCACATGTTTATTCACTACATTTTGTCCTTGGAAGAAACAGTGAATAATTTTAACAAATTTATTTTTACTGTGATGGTGTTTTTTTTAAAAAAAAAATCTGCAATAAAATTTTAATACTTTGTGCACTTTGGGACTTAATATATGCAACATTCACATATTTTCATTTTGCACAGAAAGTAGAATTTACTGTGGAAAATAATATTTTTGTGCAGAAATATTACTGCGAACGATTTTATTGATTATCCAGTTGGCCTTATCAAAACAGACCGTGCAATCACAACATACATCTAGTTCTCTTAAAATACAAATATACAGGTATCTGTCAGCTTGAAACCAATTTGCAGAAATATTACTGTCTGTACACAAAATGAAGTTTACTGGGGAGAAAGCTGCTTGTGAATTTTGTACAGAATAAGTCCCAATCTACAGTATCTTAAGCACAGAAAAGGACGTGTTCTACAAAGAAATGCTTTTTTCTGCATAGTAAATGCAAACGTTTTGCATAAAAAGTAAAGAAGCACTGTTTTTTGTAAAATAATGTGCTTTCACTCAAAAACACATAAAAAATACTATTGTGTACTTTTGCTTAGAGTTATTTCTGAAAAAAAAGCTCCAAATGCATGAATATTAGGAGAAAATGCTCATAATACTTGCCTCTCATCTATTATTCCTGACTAGGTTTCTTGAGTATTGGAAAAATAATTTTTCCTTCATTAAAAAAATTGCATTTTTTCACTTTCTACTTTGAAATCATACAAACTTAGAATTAGCAGTTTATTATTGCTAGTATTATAGTTTATATCTAGAAAGGGTTGTATTAGCATTTTACTTGCGTAAAATAAATGCATCTGTCATTTATTTACTTATTTATTTACGATATTTCTATCCTGCCTTTCACAAACCCAAAGGTGACTCAAGGCAGCTTTACAACATAGGCAGGTATTTGATGCCATTAAAACAATGTAAAAATTACAATAAATATTTAAAACAGAATGATAAAATACATACATTAAAACCTTTAGAAACACATAAAACCACTACCTTCACTATTAGCCTCATCGTTCAAAAACATAGTCTATCAATTAGCATTTATAACTGAAATAACAGTCAAAAATCCTTTCTGAACAGGCTACAGTGAACTGACAACTGGCTCTGACTAGAAAAATGGTTTGGCATGATTGCAGTCACTGCAAAATTTAGGAGATTAAATCCTTGATCTTCTACAATGTTGTAAGAAAATGATTTTTTGAAGCATTGACCTTTTAGTGGGGAGTTAAGTCATACTGAAGTCTGCTGGACCCCTTGGCCATTGCGACTTGCTGTTACAGTGACTTTGATCACTAGAGTAGATATGGAAAGGAATACGTCACATACCTTTGGTACAGATTCTTTTTATAGTTGCACTTGGAGTTCAACTAACATGTGAGAGCAAATGAATGTGTTGATTCAGTTAGGCCCCTGACTCCATCTTTTCCTGCTTTTGCCTTGAAAACTCCACATGCAGATTTCAGTGTGATAGTGATCTAATTAAATAATATGAAGGTACCACAGAAGAATTATGGATGCTATAATTCTTCATGCATTTATCCTGCACCCGGAAAGGAGTTCCATAGTTCACATGCTGAGATCAGGTTGTGGTAGTATATTTGTCATCAGCATGGCATTGTTACTGGAAAATTCTTCCTGTCTATATGATGATATCACCTAATATATTTCTTAAATTATGTGAATTATTATAAAAATGTAAAAGTATCTGCACTAGCTTTCCTCCTAAAGGATATGGTTCAAGATCTACTCTACTGTTTTCCCATATCAAAGTGTGTTTCACCCCAGTCTAGAGACCAGGAGGACTTTCTTTTATAGCACTTTAGAGTCATGCACCTTGAGAATTTTCAGAGAAATATTGGGCAAAAAAAATCATGCAAAGGCTAGTTGAAGCCTGTCTTGGTTCTGAACGCAGGAATCTCAAAACAGTTATATTTAGCTAGATGCTTTTCAACACATAGTTTGATCTTATAGTGATTCCTCCACACCTTCATAGATCCTTTGGTGGCTAGAAACATATATCTGGGGGCAGTCTTAGAAATGGTCTAAAAGCTGGTTTCCTAGGTTGACCCACAGTCAATTTTGTCCTATTATCAGATGCCCTCATCCATCCAGGAGTTAACAGTTCTTTTCATATTACCTTGGAGTTTCAATCCCTCTCCCCTCCCATACACACACACACACATCATATAACCAAAAGTTTGGGTATATTCAAAGTTAATTTGAGAACTCTTGGAAGATATATACAAAATTGGATTGGGAGAAAAGCAATTTTAAATTGTCTATGAATCCAGACTCATTGTTGCTGGGATATTTTTTTTAAAAAAAATGTGATACTTGCTGTTTTAGCATAGAGCATACTGCTCATTTTGATCAACAGATTTGTCGGAAGGACCCTTTTCTCCTATTTCATGGATTTAATAAAGGAGGGCACCATAACCCCCTAATATTCAGGATTTAAAAGAAGAAAATCTACAGAAGTGAACTAATGTTTTCATTGTGCCATTGTGACCTCCAAGCTATTAGCTTTCAGCAAACACCAGTTCCTTGTTCACCTCCCAGGGCACAAAGCTTAAGAGGCTCATTTTTAGATACTCTTTCCCCTTTCCAGCAGATAATTCAAGAGTGTGCACCAATAATTTCCTGTCATGAATCCCCTTGTAACGATATGCTCCTGCAATAAGAGGATATAACCTTCCCAGTTGCAGCCAAAGGTCAATTCTCTTGCACCTAACCTCTTTGGAAAGCATTGTGAAATGCTATCTGTTCCCTTGTCATTATGAGGTTAGGGATGAGTGGTTTTCTAGATAGTTTGCTGTGGTATGGGCATGTCTAGGAAGCTAGCTGAATTTGGCCTTTTGAGTGCCTTGACAAAAACTGGTGCTATCATTTGATACAGTGGTCGAAGCAGGAGAGAAAATCCAGCAAAAGCAGTAAATTCATCTTATTTTGAGATCACTCAACTCATCAAACTCACTGTTCTAATGGCTTTTTATTATTTTTAAGTCCATATTTTAAATTGTTCTAATAGTGTTAATAGTTTCCTTCTGTGTTTCTAACTTTGTATGTTTCTAACTGCAGTTCTCCTTCCACATTTGCAGTTTCGATTATTCACAGATTTTAGTAAAACATCTCTTGGAATCTCTAGGTCCTCCAGTGTGACTGCATGTTCAACTTTGCCCATTCAAGCTGGAGGACCTAGATATTTCTAGAGAGAACATTTAGGTCCTCCATGTGAGATTCCAGTAGAAGTTGATAATAGAGTCATTCTAGAAGAACTAGAAATTCTTAGAGATTTTCTTGGATTTAAAAAATGCAATTTTATTATTCATGTCTTTTGCTATCATGGTCTTTATCATTTTAATATGTAAAACATCATGATTTCCTGTATTGGAGGAAAATTGAGGTATAAGTGGTGGTGATGATTAAAATGAAGGCAGCAATAATAGTTGCAGTTAATGTGAATGTGTGAATAAATGAAGCTTCTTTTGGTTTACATGCATAAGGTCCATCAAATTGTTTTGTAGAATTGTGTAAAACAAACGGATGCAGCACAAATGGCTATATTCTCTTCCGTTATTAAAAAATGCCTAGAATTGGAAAGTTGACAAAGTAAAGGCACTGCTCCATGCTTCTTTCAATAGAACAGACCAAAAAAATTTAAAAAAGAAAATGGATTTACTGAGAAGGGGTTGTGTCCCAGCATAGAATCTCCTTGGAAAAGAGAACACATAAGGACTGAGCCAAACATTTGACATGCTAATTACTTATTTTAAAAGCCACTGTTTAACATATGGGATTTGTTTCATTATAATGTCGCAGTTATGATAAAACTGCACAGAAAAACATTGGCAGGTTCACATTGCTTTGAGAATACGAGAACTATCTTCTAGATCAGGCCAAAGATTAATTTAAATCACTGTTTCTCGAACTCTACTCCTCCAGATGTTTTGGACTTCAGCTCCCATAATTTCTAGTAGCTGGAACCTTTGGGAGCTGAATTCCAAAACACCTAGAAGAGCAGAGTTTGAAACACACTGATCTAAAATTTTGGGCTCTGTTGCCCATCGGCTACCTCCAAGAAATATGCAAACCTGATACAGAAGGAACAACCCTCTTCATCTACTTTCCCCAGCATTTCTGGCTATTTCCTTTCAAGTGAAATCAATGAAGGTGCGGCTCTACAACTGCATTTAAGGGCTTTTTTCATCTTTTTTGTGGAACTATGTGCCTTGTAACTTGTTTTGTCAAGCTTGTGGTATTCTGCTTTTATTGCCTTTTATACATCATTGTTATGAACTACCTTTTTCACAAAAATATGATAAGTCTTTTGCACCACCTAATCTATTGTTTGTTTTCTCTCTTCTTCCTAATTTTCAGAGCTACATACACGGAAGCAGCCAGGCGCAGTTTGTGGCGGAGTCTCATATCATTCTGCTTCTGAGTATCCTTCAAATGTTGATGGATGGAAAAAGGCAAGCCAAAACAGAGTCCACTATTAAATGAAATTGCATTGACAGTGAATATTATTGAGGTTTTGAGCAGGTATTTCATTTCCTGCCTATTTACCGTATGATTAAAATGATATCCAATATTTTTGCTGTCTTATTTGTAGAAAACCTACAGCAATATTGTGAGGATTTTCACTCTCCTATAGCTATTTCATTTTCTGCATTCAATCTGGTTTCCCAATACCATGCTATCTATGCTATCTGTTTTCTTTCTATTGTATCAGAATTCTGACCTGCTTACAATGCACTGAGATCAGCTCATCATGTCAGCAATAGTAGTCATGAAGCAATAAGCTGACAATTTTGTTTTTTTGATAAACTTGTCTGTCACAACTAAAAAGAGTAGGTTTGTTCAGACTGAATGCACAGTTTAGAAGTGGAATCAAGTTACAATTTCCTGCCAGTGAGCTCACAACATAGACATTCATGCAAATGCTAATGCATGTATATACACCCATGCATATCATTATATGATCAGGAGTCTATTCCTGTACATCTTTAATGGATTAGTAGATCATAGAGGTGAAGCAAGTATCATTTATGTATTGAATCAGAAAGCATATTCTGTGCAGTGGATCAAATTACAGACAGAGAACCTGAGTGGGGATTCCAGTCTAAACAAGTCTGAAATTCAAATAAGCCATTGGAAACGGGAAAATGTCAGATCCATACCTTCAGTGTAGGCCACCCATGCCAGTGTAGGGTGCTGTGCAACCGTAAAAACTATAACTGTTTACATTTTACTGCAACGCTCTCTACGTGGGGTTGCCTCTGAAGACTGCCCGGAAGCTGCAGCAAGTACAGCGTGCGGCAGCCAGATTACTAACGGGTGCTGGGTACAGGGAGCACACCACTCCGCTGTTACTCGAACTCCACTGGCTGCCGATTAGCTTCCGAGCAGAATTCAAAGTGCTGGTGTTAACCTATAAAGCCCTAAACGACTCCGGCCCTGTTTACCTCTCCAAACGTATTCTCCCCTACAAACCATCAAGACCACTAAGATCGTCTGGAGGGGACCTGCTCTCGGACCCACCGCCTGCACAAGCACGGCTGGTGGGGACGAGGGACAGGGCCTTCTCGATGGTGGCCCCTCGACTTTGGAACTCCCTGCCGTTAGAGATCAGAACTGCCCCCTCCCTCATGACGTTCAGGAAACTAACAAAGACCTGGTTGTGGAATGCGGCATTTGACAACTGATTTAATTCTTTGCCCACATGAAAGGAGGATGATGAATGGGATTGTGATGGTGTTGGACGATTTGGCTCTTTTAACTGTGATTATAATGTTTAATGTGTATGGTTCTGATATTTTAATAGTGTAATGAAGTGGCATTGTGTTGTTATTGTATATTCTTTGTATGTTAACACATGTTGTGAACTGGTCCGAATCCCTCTTCGAAGGTGAGAGGGTCGGTATATAAAACCTCGAAATAAATAAATAAATAAATAAATTTTAGTTAGAGGGGATTAACATTTCATATAAAGTTTTCTGTGGGGGTCGGTCTAGATTTTATTTATTTATTTAAAACATTTATATTCCCCCCTTCCCACCCTGCAGAGGACTCAGGGCCGAGCACAACATATATACAGCAAACATTCAATGCCGGGACATAAAACCATAAATATATACCAACATTAATATCACTTATATCCACTTTAAAATCAGTTGCTTAAAAACCATCTCAGGTCACCATTCTATTATTGCTTCATTGCACTGCCCCAAAGGCTTGGTCCCACGGCCAGGTCTCCACTATCCTTCTAAAGGACAGCAGGGAGGGAGCTGATCTAATAATGCCAGGAAAGGAGTTCCATAACCAGGGGGCAATCACTGGGAAGGCCCTGTCACCCGTCTCCGCCAAACGTGCTTATGATACTGGCGGGACCGAGAGCAGGGCCTCCCCAGAAAATCTTCGCAGTGGTTCGTAAAGGGAGATGCATTCAGATAGATAGAAAGATAGCCTCTTTCCCTTTAAGTCACCTCCCTCCCTGCCTCTTTAAGAACCCTCTCAAGGCAGAGCCTCAGGCAAAGCCCTTCTTGTTCCTTAGAGAATCAGCCATTTTACAATAGGAAGGTGAAGAGAGAGGAAGGCCAGGAAGGTTCGCAAAATAGCAACTCACATACAGTGTTCAGATGGAGTTGTGTTGGAGCCAAGTCAGAGACATTTCAAGTTAAAATAAAAGTTAGTTCCAATCAAGCATTACTCCAAAGACAGACAGACACCAACAAGAGAAGAAACAGCAGATGAGTTCAGTAATTCAGGGCCTCTCTCTCAAGGACTTTAACTCCCTTCCAAGGACCGTGCCAGTAGGACCCAGGAGGAAAAAGGGTTGAAGCCTTTTTCAGTTATTATATCTTGCTGACTGTTTGCCTAAGTGTCCTCCATGTGTTACCTGTGCAACCATCTCACCTTATAAGCAGTTAGATAGCATGGGGGCAGAAGAGTAGAGAGACCTCTCATATCAGCCCACACTCTAAATAGGTGAAGGATGTTAGTTGAAATGGTGATGTCTGATACTGTCTATGGATACCAAAATCCTGAACTGCAAGACTTATGAACTACCAGTCAACTTAAAGGTGCCCATGGGTACCCATCAACCCAAAACCCTAAGAAATTCCTAAACCACTGCACCAGTGTGATGAGATCAATCAAATTAGTATTCATGTTTAATCATAATTTGCCAAATTCTGCTGAATCAAAAGGGCTGATGGATGGGTGAAAATAACCCCTTGCCCATCTCCTGCACTATCACATCATCCTTTGCCTGAAACGTCACCCATCAGTCTGAGGTTCCCAGCAGGTGAGCATTCGACACACAATTGGATGATTGCACTAAAGGTCATTACTAATCAGACAATACCTTGGCCTTTGTTAACAAATTCATCTCTTTTAATAAATTTAGTAAAAGAAAAGTTATTCCACCAACTGCAAGTTTATGGTATCACTAAAATTAGTTTTCTAGTGCAGCCAGCTCTCTGTATCCACAGATTCTTCACACATAGATTCAACTATCCACAGCTATGTTTTCTCTTTCATGTGCCATACTTGGTTGGTGGAATAACTTTTCACACTGTTTTTTCTCTCTCCTGTGGCACAGAGATTTATACCTTTGCAGCTGACAGTTCCAGCTTCATACAATGCCATGCAAGGGGAGAATAAGTGAATCCCTAAGTAAAAGAATGTTGTGAGGTTTTTGTGTGTGAAATAAAAGCATGCCAGTTCCCAAGTTACTTTTGATAAAGTCCACAGTTTTTTAACAATGTTTCTAATTCAAATGCATTTGACTCTTCAAAAGGATGAAGAGGTTTAATCCTAAAACAAAGTTAGTATGGGACCAAATCTCATTACTTTTATGAAACTGAGTCCACAAATAAATGGCTACAAATTCAAATGCATATTTATATCCAAGTAGCTTATTGGTGGAATGTCTTTACTTGATTTAATACATCATTCCTAAATTAGATTAAGTACTCACAGGATTGATAGAACAAATAACTTCACTTGGCATCTTAATTCGTCCTCCAGCAAGAGTTCTGAAAGTTTTATGTCATAGTTCAAACCAAATGATGGACTGCAAAGGGCTTTCATGACCAATCTACAGACTTCCATATGAACTTTTACTAGTTGCACTTTAGATCATTTATTAGCTTTATCCTCTTCGTGACAATTAGAAGCTCTGACTTTTCTCCTTTAATTTTTTTTTCCTACAGGCAGAAAAATGATGGAAGTTCAATTTCCTAAACAATGGCATTGAACTTCTCATTAGAATTTCTTTTTTTAAAAAAAAATACAGTACCGTTGTTATAGCAACTTGTTTTTTCTAGCATTAGGAGTAAAAATATAGGTTGCAATTTAGCCAACAATGAACACATTTCTGTGGGTCAGAATTTGATCCTCTGCTAGCTCTAGGGTTTCCATTTTGATCCCAAACAGTTGATCATGTGGTGTCCATGCAACACAGCATTATCTCTGCTTTATGGCAAGAAATAGATAATCTCAATTGTATACAAGGAAACAAATTAGGAACATGTCTTTTGAAAGTAGAATTGGGTGATTCCTCCACCCCCTTTCTGGCTTTGTGGCTGCTAGGATGTGTTAGTGCTGATACCTGCACACTGGCGCCTGGCTGTTGGACTCAGGGGATGTTGGGGTGGATTATTGTCTCTTTTTTGGATGGGAAGTAGGAAAGTTTAATAATGAAAAACCTGTTTCTATAATTCTGATTTAAGAAGTCCAGATGTTGACATTCTCAACTGATCCTCTTCACCACAGTAGGTCCTAATGGCTTCATGACTACTTTTCCTCCATGATGCTTTACACATTTCCTATTTTGGATACAGTAATAAATTTCCAGCAATGAGCCAGATTCATAGAGATCAACCATATAGGTGTACTTCTTTGAATACCATTGCCATTAATTGTCCAAAGAGCTCACAATACTGTGTCAGTTTAGATATACTCCCCTATTTTGGTGATTCAGTTATATAGAGGTGAGTGGCAGAAAGCTCAGTGAAAGTGAAAAACTGCAAATAATAAAATTGCTATTATTTTTTTACTTGAGAGAACATCTCTCTAGGAGTTACAGACAGTCCCCAGAATACAAGCAAGATGGAGCCTGTAGGTTTGTCCTTCAATTTGTATGTAAATCAGAACAGGTACCATTTTTAAAAGTTTTAACTCCAACCACTTTATTAAAAAATTGGGTACCATAGGGAAGGTTAACATTCCTGTAATAGCTGTTTTGCTTGCTATCCATGCCAATGATTAGAAGATTACCCCTGACTTTCTGTCCCTGTTACAATTGGATTTTGAACATGTTGACTTGTGGAAACAAGGATTGATGATAAATCTTCAGTAGAGACACCTTTCCCCCTTGATAACTCTTCTAGAGTGAATTTCCATTCCTAGGGGTAGATTTCCTCTCATTTCCTATTA